TAATTTTAATTTAGGAATATCAATGGGTATTAAGGTTAATGATTATGGGCCAATTGTCATCTTAATAATGTAAATTCCATAAATTAAAAATCACAGGACACTTGACCTTTATGTTGCTTTATGTACAATAAAATGCATATAATTAGTAATAATAACACATGATTAACAACATGTAATAACATTATCCAGTATCGTACAATAAAACCTTTATCCACAACATCAGTTCTAGCTCCATTAGTTAATAGAATATCAACAGCTTCAATACTACCACTCTTAACAGCATTAAACAATGGAGTACTGTTGTTCTACAAAAACAACACAAAATGAAATGATTACTTAATAACTTAAACCTTATCCGCAGCATTCACATCAGCCTTTCCTTTAGTTATTAATAACTTGATAATATCAGCATTACCAGTTTCACTAGCACAGTGTAATGGAGTACCAGAATACTATATAAATATTAAAATAAACTAAGTTACTAGGAGACAAAATGAAGGGTACAATATTTCATTGATGGGCTTGTGGGTTAATAAATATAAATCAATGGTCAATGGATGTCACCTAATGACTCAATAAATGAAGAATCATTTTGTCTACAAGACACACATAATTGCTACCAAGCACACACACAATGCATGTCACGGTTTAATTTTTGATCACTCACAAAAATGTCAGCACTATACTTACTTCAGACACATCAGTTCTAGCTCCATTAGTTAATAGAATATCAACAGCTTCAATACTACCACTCTTAACAGCATCAAACAATGGAATTCTGTTGTTGTACTATAGATACAACACAAAATGATATACCCTATAGTGGGTTTATTTCGAGGATAATAAATTTTGCGAATGACCTGTATCCGGAAGTTCACGGAATTAATTTTCACAAATTTCCACTACTCTGCCATCTTGTACCATATTAAATTGATTTTCAAGTAATTTAATTGTTGAGGATATTATTTAACCACTTTTGACACATTAGATCTACATGTTATTACTGTATGTACATGTGTATTATTTATTGTGTATTTATTGTTTGTGTAAACAGGAACTTTCTAGATTATTCTCTTAGTCTCTTGATCTTGTGTCTGTAT